CTGTATTAAGTGAAAAGGTCATGTGTAAGCATTATACTCTTGTATATAATAAGGGTCAGAAACTTTTACATGCAGCAAGTTTATTTATTTATTTGTGGGTTGGTTTTTTTTTTTTTTTTTTTTTTTAAAGACAGGGTTTCTCTATGTAACAGTCCTGGCTTTCCTGGAACTCACTTTGTTACCAGGCTGGTCTCTAACTCACAGAGATCCACCTGCCTCTGCCCCACAAGTGCTGGGATTAAGGCATGCGCCACCACCGCCCAGCTACATGCAGCAAGTTTTACTGAAATGATACGTGGGAACTTCAGGCTGGACTCAGAGAACAATGACCTTTCCCTGAAGACATTTTTTTCAGTGTGTGTGTGTGTGTGTGTGTGTGTGTGTAAGCCAGAGGCTTGTGTGTGTGCTTGTGTAAGCCCTAGGCTGATGCGTGTATATGTTTGTGTATAAGCCAGAGGCTGGTGTGTGTGTGTAAGCCAGAGGCTGGTGTGTGCATGTGTTTGTATGTGTGTGTGTGTGCTTGTATAAGCCCTAGGTTGATGTGTATGTTTGTGTATAAGCCAGAGGCTGGGTGTGTATGTTTGCATGTATGTCAGAGGATGGTGTGTATGTGTGTGTGTTTGTGTAAGCCAGAGGCTGGTGTGTTTCTATGATTGTGTGTGTCTGTAAGCCAGAGGCTGGTGTGTATCTATGATTGTGTGTGTATGTAAGCCAGACACTGGTGTGTGTGTCTATGACTATTTGTGTATGTAAGCCAGAGGCTAATGTGTGTGTTTGTGTGTTTAAGTCAGAGGCTTGTTGTGTGTGTGTGTGTGTGTGTGTGTGTGTGTGTGTAATCCAGAGGCTGATGTGTGAATGTGTAAGTCAGAGAGGCTAGTATGTATGTGTGTAAATCAGAGGCTGGTGTGTATGTGTGTGTGTAAGTCAGAGGCTAATGTGTGTATGCTTGTGTGTGTAAGCCAGAGGCTGGTGTGTATGTGTGTTTGTAAATCAGACTGGTGTGTATGTTTGTGTGTGTAAGCCAGAGGCTGGTGTAAGGTGTCTTCCTCTGCCACTCTACATTTTATTTTTGAAAGGTTTATTTCTACATATACAAGTGTTTTTGCCTGTTTTTATGTGTGTATGCGCACTATCTGAGCATTTCATGTGCGCGGGTGTTTTGCTTATAGAGATCTATGTACACCATGTTTGTTCACAGTGCCCACAGAGGTCAAAAGCGGGAATCAGATCCTCTGGTACTGAAGATACAGAGGATTAGGAGCCACCATGTGGGTATTGGAAACTGAACCCTCATCTTCTCTAAGAGCAGCGAGTACTCCTAACCACTGAACCATCTCTCCATTCCCTCTAAAGGTCTCTTACTGAACTTGGAACTTTCTGTTTTAGCTAGACTAGCTGATCAGGAAACTCTAGCGATCCACCTGTCTCTACCCCTTTCACAGCACTGGATAATGAACACACACTACCACACAGGACTTTTCCATGGGTGCTAGGGATCTGAACCCAGGTCCTCATGCTTACGGAGCAAGCGCAGTGTGCCATCTCCCTGGCCTCCTCTGAGTGCTTTATACTCTATAATAAATATTTAATATTTAAATTTTGTTCAATTTAATTTAAAGTGTGTGTATGCGCGTGTTTGGCTGCAAGGGCATGTATGCTACAGGTCATGTGTGGGTCAGAGGTCAACATTCTCTGCCTGGTGGTGGTGGAGCATGCTTTTAATCCCGCACTTGGAAGGCAGAGGCAGGCAGATTTCTGAGTTTGAGGCCAGCCTGGTCTACAAGAGCTAGTTCCAGGACAGGCACCAAAACTACAGAGAAACCCTGTCTTGAAAAAAAAATTCTCTCCTTCCCCTATGGGTTCTAGAACTTGGGTCCTCAGGCACAGAAAGCCATTTTAACCATTATGCCATCTCTCCAGACCACTACCTAATACTCGCCTGCCTGAAGTAAATGTTACTTCAAATGAATCTCTATAATATACGCTAAGTATTTGCTGGTAGCAAGCTACCTAAGAGGTTGATTTCCATGTGCTGATAAAAGCTTCAAGCCTCTATCTTGTTACTCTCTCCTCCCTCTCAATACAGTAGTTTAATTCTACTCCCATCTCCAGTTCCCTGATGCTCGTATCCCGACTTGGTCCAGAAGTCATCAGTTGCAATTCAGACGTCTCACGGTCAGTTCTATAAAGGAGACTATTGCAGTTCCTATAGGCAGAGCTGAGCCGGCTGGTGGGGAGTCTGTCTCCTCGGGAAGGCAGAGTGAGCCTCCAGAACAAGCCGGGCCCCCACTTGGCCCCCAGTGAATGAGCACAGCGCAGACTGGTCCAAACGCCCCCCTTCCCTTTGCTTGATGCTTCGAGATGCCAAGAGGACCCTGAGGTTTGTCAGCTCCTGAGGCTAAACAGGAATCGGGTTGGGGTCCTCCTTAACCCTGATCCCTCTTCTGCACCCCTGCGACTCCTTTCTGTAAATCCCACCACCACTTAGACATTCCTTGCCATAACTTCCCTGCTCCTATAAGAGCCAAGTTTGGAAACTATTCTAAGTATGTACTATGAGCGTCAAATCCAATGAAAAATAAAAAACACTCTTTTGTTTTGTGTTTTTTTTTTAAATTTTGGCGCCAAAACTGGCAGAAAACAATACCCTTCCTATAGAATTCAGATGTGGACTGGCTTTTCCTAAGGTACTGATACACAGTGTGATTATCCCACAACTCTAAACAGAAACAGAGTCTCCCCTCGCAGCTCCCAGACAACACACAGTCTAAACTGTAGCCTCAGTAGCTGAGGGATAAATGTATTACTGTATCTCCTATGTCCTTCACTCCTTAGGATGTGATCCCATCACCATACACTAGGACACTGGTGCCTTTTCCTTTGTTAATTCAAGGATCTACAGTGACAGAAACAGACACACATCCCTGCTTCTTGGAGGCATGCTTACCTCATCCTTTACAGGCAGGACTCACGGGAGCACTCACCCCCAGGAATGCTCTCGCTTTTTGAGAGGGGGAAACAGGAAGCCCAGCGTACCTGAGTAACTTATCTAAAGTTGCACAACTACTAACAATGGGGCTGAGTATTGCTAACCTGGTGGTTAAGCCCAGCAAACAGTGATTCGTGAAAGCTTGATTAAGGCGGTACACAGTGCAAGGTTGGGCTTCATGGAGCCACAGCAGACCCTAAAGATATGCCGGGACTCTCAGTATGCACAGTAGCCTCTCCCTTACCCAAGTCTCCTTTGCTGGGATTTCACTTACTGGAGGATCAAGAATGGTCCAGAAGTATTAAATGGAAAATTGCAAAAATAAACCAAAAATGTTAAATAATTTTATTTTAAATATGTTGTTACAATTACCCCAGTTATTGGCAGTTACTAATACCTAATTTACAAGTTAAACTTTGTCACAAGTGTATAGACACAGGAAAGCATAGTACGTGTTTGTGGGCATATGAATGTGCATGTGTGTATGTGTCTGTGTGAACACATGTAAATGTGCAAGTGTGTCCCTGTGTTATCATGTTTGTGTCTGCATGTGTGTATAAGTGTTTCTGTATCTAAGAGTCTGTTCACTATGTGAATGTGTCTATGTGTTGTGTGTATGTGTGTATGAATGTGTACATGGGCATATGAGTCTCCTTTTATATATATGGTATATGAGTACATATGTGTTTATTTGTTGACATGTATATGGATTTGTTCCTTGTGTGCATGTGTATATTTGTGTGTATGTGTATATGTGCGTATGCCTATCCATGCATGCCTATATATGTGCTTGAATATGTGGTTATATGTGTACCTGTATGTGCTCGTGTGCCTTGTCTGTATGTGTGTATACTTGTGTGTATATATGTACCTGTGCCTGTGGTTCGGTACTGTCTTCAGTTTCAAGCATTCACCTAGTTTTTGAAACCTATGCCCCACGGACACAGGGGCACTTCTTACTGAGTTGTCAGAAACTCCTGAACTCAAAAGAACACTAGCAGGTTGCTTAAGTACCCCCTGCATTCCAAACCAACACCATCAACTTTTTTACTTTTTTTTATTTATTATGTGAATGTGTGTGTGCGCACGCACACGCGCGTATGTGTAAATGCCACATGTGTAGGTCCCCATGGACATCAGAAAGGGGTACTGAATCTCCTGGAGCTGGAGTCACAGGTAATGGCGAACAGGGAACTGCACTGAGTCCTCTGGAAAAGTAGCAAGTGCTCTCAAACCGCACTCGCAACTATTTGAAGGACAGAAATACATTCTTTGTTGCAGACGCCCTGGGCCATATGTGCCTACTGAATGTGTTTAGGTGTTTCTGTATCTAATATGTGTGAATGTGTCTACGTGGCCAGTGCACTGGAGAAACCAAATGTTCTCATTGTATTTCAGAAGAACAGTTTTAAACCACACGTGGCTAGAGGCTTCCGTAGTGAGCACTCACCTACTTGGTTCTTTGGCTTCGAGATAGAATACTGAATTCTGAAGGCACAGGAACTGATTTGATTTAGACTTCCTAGTTCAATCAGTTTGGCCAGTCAGTTAGCTCCTACCTCAGCTATCAAGCCTGTTCCAAAGAATTACTATCCCTGCCTCACAGTGACTTGAGGAAGAAGAGACATGGATTCATGTACTCACAACCCCTGGAAGGCACTCAGCACATGCATGCCTCCCATGTCCCCTCTCACTGTTCAAATGTGAAATCTAGAATGTGCCTTTTCAGACCCTTTCCCCTAGGGGATGTAGTCCCTGCTAGAGGAAGAGATGTCCAGTCCCAGGAAACAAGGACTCCGAGTTCCCGCTCAGAAGGACCCCCAACTCTTGATACTGATGAACAGCAAGTCAACGCTCTTCTAGAAGCCACGGGCATCTTGGGAAGCAGCCAAAGGCAAAGCAGCAGAGGCAGAGAATGTCACGTGGCGCTCAGGAGGGCCCTGAGACTTTTTACGCGGCCACCACCCTCCTTCTTCCCCTTATACCAAGTAAACCCAAGCCCCCAAGTTACCTGAGGCAGCAGAGGTGGGAGTATTGGCTGGCGGAGGCTGGGCAGAGCTGCTGGTCTCAGCCATCAGGCACGGGTTGCTGGCATTATTCTCTCTCTTAACGAGCAGCTCAGCTGCACTGGGCAGCGGGATGGGGTGGCTGATGCCCAGTTCTTCTTCCTGGGCCTGCTGTCTTCTCAGGGCCACCTGGAAGCACAGGGCAGCGAGTCACCCTTCAGCAAAGCAAACACCGTTGCCAAGTTGTGCTAACCTATTGTGGTTCTCCACATCTGTGAGGAAGGTAGAAGCAGCTCTCATTTTGGCCTTCTCCAGTCGCCTGACTCCCTAGGTGTGCTGGCTGGTTTTATGTCAACTTGACACAAGCTAGAGTCACTTGAACGGAAGAAACTCCAATTGAGAAAATGCCTCAGTAAGACTGAGCTATAGGCAAGCCTGCAGGGTATTTCTTTAATAAATGATTGATGTGGGAGGGCCCAGTCCATTATCAATGGACTCTCCTGGGCAGGTGGTCCTGGGTTCTCTAAGAAAACAGACTGAGCAAGCACTAGGATACAAGCCAGGAAACAGCATGCCTCCATGGCTTCTTCATCACCTCCTGCCTCCAGGTTCCTGCCCTGCTTGAGTCCCAGTCTTCGCTTCCTTCAACAGTGAACTCCAATGTGGAGGTGCAAACCAAATAAACTTGTTTTTTGGTTGTGGTGTTTCACTGCAGCAACAGAAACCCCAAGACACTAGGTAATGAACATAATGCCAAGCTAGAAAAACTGTAGAGTGGACTCAACACCAAGAAAAAGTGCTGATCAGTTAGAAGGGGGAATTAGACCATTCGCCCCTTCATTTACCAGACAGGTTAAAGGCCACTTGTACAGTGAGGTAAGCTTAGACCCAAGTTCCTCACCACTTAGGAGAAAATGCAGGCAAGCAAACAAGCAAGCAACATCAAGAGCAAACGTGCTAGATACCGTGAGACTTGAGACATACATAGAAAGCCTACAAAAAAAATAATTCTCATCAAAACACCGTTAAAATGTAGGCAGGTGTTGTGGCATAGGCCAGTAATCCCAGCATTCAAAAAGGTGAAGGAGGAGGAGGAACAGGAGTTTGAGGCAAGCCTGGGCGACACAGCAAGACCCTATCTGGGAAAAGACCAACCGCCTTCAAAACATAAACATCCAACAAGGACAAGAAGAGTTCTAGCAGAGCCGTGAATGATAAATAGGGTGAGCAGGGTTCTGAAGGACAGAACAATCTGGACTGGTGAAGTAGCCCAGAACAGCCCTGCTTCCCAAGGCAGGTTGGAGCGAGGAAAGAAGGGGGCTGGAATCTGGTGTCTGGTGGAGACCTGAGGTGATTCACACAGGAGGGCAAGCTAGAATTGGAAAAAGAACCACCATGTATTTACTAAACTCTGTATCATCCTTATTCAACTTGTCTTTTAAATAACATTTGTTAAAGTTTGGTTCCAAAAAGGCTTAAGGGGGGAAAAAGTGTACTGTTTACTACATATGTAACAAAAACAAAAGACTTTCTCTGGAAACTGACCAGTGATATGGTAACAGAAGGTAAAGTCCCATACCTCCGGGGCCTAAAGTCAAGAGGAAAGGGGAAATCAAAATAGTAACTCAAAAGCACAATTCCACAGGCTGGGAATGTAGCTCAGGGGTACTTGCTTCAGGTACAAATCCCTAGGCTCAGTGTACATAACTTAAAAATAAATAAATAACATAACATAACATAACATAACTAGGCTAGAGGCATAGCTCAGTGGGTAAGAGTTCCTGCAGTAAATCTGTGGTCCCAAGTTCAAGCCCCACAGCCCTCATCAAAGATGGGAACAAGGGCAAGGCAGTGGTGGTGCAAGCCTTTAATTCCAGCACTATGGAGACAGAGGCAGGTGGATTTCTGTGAGTTTGAGGCCAGCCTGGTCTATAAGAGCTCATTGCAAGACATGCTCCAAAGCTACAGAGAAACCCCGTTTCGGGAAGAAAAAAGGCGGAAGGTGGAAAGAAAGACCAAGACCCAGCTACACAAAATTGTCCACTGCCCTCCACACCTGTACTCTGTACCCCAAATTTTTACAATCCACACTATAATCAATGTATTTAAAAAAAACTATCATCCAAACTTAACTGATCAGTGTGGAAGTTTGGCTCATAATCAAAGGAAGCTTTAATTTTGAATTTGAGACCTTTAAAAAAAAAGCGGTTATTCAAGACTAAATAAGCTTGTCTAGGTTTGTTGTGGAGTTTTTTGTTTGTTTTGTTTTCTACATTAGTCAAGAGACTTAGAAGTAGAGCAGCGATGGCTTGGACAAGAATCTGCGGCCACTGCAGACCTCTGCAGTTTATCAAAACACACCTACACCAAGTCCATGCCCTGGCACACCCCAAATGCACAGTTTAGCTCTGCCAGGAACCCATATCATTTCAAAAACCTTCTCAGGGAGGAAATGCTTGTTTAAACAGGGAAGGAGATAGCAACTGAGTGAGGATGCAATTATTTTCAATTTACATTTAATATCTATTTCAAATTATTTACAAGCGAGTGAAACCCAATTATTATTTGGATTTTTAAGAATTTGTTTTTCACAGCACCATATTCCTGGTGTGAGAAGTCCTAATACCCCATTCTGTAAGAAATTCGTAATTGCTTTTTTGTTTTTAACTCGACTTTTAGCAACCTTAAATTAGCCCCCCCCCAATCAAAGTGATTCAAAATTAATGTCTCCATTAAAATATTTTATTCCTTTGAGGAAACTCCTTCCAGCCATAGTCTTCACGCTAAATACATAATCCAACCATTTTTACCTACAAGTATAATTTAGTGGTTCTTATGATTTATAATCTCATTGTGATGCTTTTCAATGTGATATAGAGCATATTCTTTTCATTCATTACAGACTAAGCTAAAATGTTTTTAAGAAACTAAAGAAAACTATTTTTTAACTTCACAATAGGTGAAGCCAAAGTATATATAATTTAAGACATATTTTTAAAAATATGGCGCTCATAGGAGAGTATAATCTTTAAGGTTCGTTCAACCTTCTCATCTACATCACTTTCAAAAGATGTTCTTAACCAAAAGTAGTTGTCTTTAGCAGAAATTTCTTTGGTATCTTTTCATTTTAAATAACCTGCCTTAAGATGAAACAACATTTGGGGGAAAGAATGTATATTATTGTCTTCTAAAAATCCTTTAGGATACCGACATTTAACTATTTCCGTCAAGATGCTAAATTACTAGCCTGCTGTTCGCGCTGTTTGAAAAAAAAAAAATATTTACAGAGCTTCAAACTGGCATCTTCATCCTGCACCTGCAAATTTTTTTCCACTTTTAAGCATGACTAAAACATTTTCAAAGTAATCTGGACTGGGATAACTTGGGTCAGGACTACACATTGAGCCTCAGACCGCTCAAAATGGCTGAGGCGCTTGCCCGGGTCCGCGGGGCGAACCCGAAAAGTGCGCCAACTGAGGCGCGAACAAGCTCCGCTCCCGCCCACCCCAAGGACTTTTCCAGAAAACCCCAGGAGCAGCGCATTCCCGCGCCGCCAGGGTGAAACTGGTCCGTGCGCCTCCCTTCCACCTACTGGGGTAGCTTCTTAAGCGGGACGCCAAGTCAGGGGACCAAAAGAGCGAACCCCGCTACTCTGTGTAACACGGGGTTCGGGGTCATGGGGAATCCTCCCAGAGGGGCGAACCCCACAATTCCCAGCTTGGAATTGGATTTCAAAGCTGTCTCCCTCCCAGTAGAGCAAACACACACACACACACCCGCCCGCGCGCGCCAGTTTGTTAGCAATGCCTCAATCTCGGTAAGTCCGCAAGGACGCCCCAACATCCCTGGTCAGAGGGCGTAGTCCCGGGGTTGTCTGAGTCGAGGAAACTCGCGACTCTGGGACCAAGTGAATGGGGAACCCCGAAATTCTGATGGAAGACGGGGTCAGAATGAAGGGAACTCTGAACGGAGTTCCACCCAGCCCCCAGGGCGAGGGTGCGTGTGCGCGGCCCGAACCCGGCATCGCCGCCGGGAGCCCCGGAAATCCACGGGACTCAAGCAGAGAGAACCTCCTCGGTCGGTAGGGTCCCCGACCCTCCACCGCCCCCACCCCCGGCGTCTGGAAGCTGCGGCCCGCCGTCTGGAAGCGCGAGGCCATCGGTGGTCCTCCGCGAGCTGCCCCAACCCTACCCCCACCCCACACCCCGTTCCCCGGGGCCCGCACTCACCTGCGCGGCCATCACGCGCTGTCGCTCCGCAATCAGGCTGCACTTCTTGCACTGGCAGTCCCGCCACATGCAGAAGCGCTTGTGGCCCTTGAGCGGCGACGCATAGCCGTGGTTCCTGCAGCGAGCGCACTTGGGCAGCCTCGGGGACTTCTTGTTTCCAGAACCCAGGCCCGACGGCCCGGAGCCCGAGGCGCCTCCGCTGCCCCCTGCGCCGGAGCCTCCGGCCGCTCCCGCCATCGCCCCGGCCGATTTGCTGTAGCCGCCGGCTTTGCCCTGCGGCGGGGCCCCCGGAGCGTGCGGGTCCTCCGTCGGTGTAGACGGCTTGCTGAATGAGTCGTCGTTAGGCATCGAGCTTCGTCCCCCACTCGCGGATCCACCCAACAAGCTGCGTAGGGCCCTAGAAGGTGTCCGGGAGGCGGGTGTACGGCAGATGGACGTACAGTCCAAATGAAGAAGCCCGAGAAGTGGGTGGAGAGTTGTACCTTTTTTTTTTCTTTTGGCGCGCCTCGCGCAGGACTTTTGGATACTTTTCAGAACCTTCCGAGGAGTGCGTGGGCGGGAGAGGACGCTACGCGGCGTGGCCACGCCCACTGTCCCCCAACTCCATCCAGTGGGCCTCTGTGTGTAAGCTTGCACCAGCTGCACGGAACAGCGTTGCTGCAAAATTACAACAAATCACAGCCCTATATTGAGCACCAGCACGAGCTCCCTCTTAGCCCCCTGCTCCAAGGAATTGAGCTGAGTGGCACCCATTGCTGGAGGAGGTGCAGACCACCCTGTGTGGTCCACTTCGCTCACCGCTACCCCCCAGGGAGGCCCATTGGATAAGAGGGACTGGCAGCCGTTTTTTTTCCCCTCCACCCCACCCCCACCCTCCCATAAGAGTGAGATTGAAAGTCTAAGAAAAGCTGGGTCTATGTTTATGTCAAATAAAGACCCTCAGTGTATGAGGCTCAAGCGCCCCGAAAGGCCGGGCCTTTCTGCCTCCCACCTGCCTCCTACACCCCTGTTTATTTGTTCTCAGGATTTCTACCACCTGACTCCAGACAGATAAATGTGCCACCAGCTCATTTAGCTCTAGCCTTCATTGCTTCTCGCCGTAGGTGTAGATAGCTTTTGCCTTTGAAGCAGCTTCGTTTAGAACTTTGCAAGCATACGAATCTGCCTGGCCAAATTCATGTAAAAATTGGATTTGGCCTTGCATGGTGGCTCAGGTCTGTCATCTCAGCACTTGGAAGGCTGAAGCAGAAAAACCACCACAAGCTCAAGGCCAGTCTAGGCCACATGAGTTCCTGGCCATTTAGTTATAGAGACCCTGTCTTAAAATAAGTAAATAGATAATAAATTGGGGGGGGATCACAAATAAACTGAATTTGGGACCGCATAAAGTGACCTAAATTTGTAATTCCCGCACCCTGGCAGAGGCTAAAGGATTCCTACGTTTCAGATCAGTCTGGACTAAGTAAAGAGATCCTGCATCCAAAATTTAAAAACAAAAACAAACAAAAACTGAATCTGGGAAAGGGATTATGCAAAAGGAGACATTATTCCATGCTAAGATCTCTCTCTCTCTCTCTCTCTCTCTCTCTCTCTCTCTCTCTCTCTCTCTCTGGGGAAGTGGGTTGCTGGACTCAGAAATCCACCTGCTTCTGCCTCCTGAGTGCTGGGGCTAAAGGCATGCACCATCACCACCCTGCTTACGATCTGCAATTTTATTGTGTGGAAATGTGCCCCCCAAAACAAATGAAACTCTCCAGCTCCATCATTTTGGAGCCTTTTCTAGGTTCCCTGTCTGCTCTCCACCAGGGCTGTCTGCTGTCTGTCTTCTGTCTACACTGGCACTGCAAACCTGCCTCTAAGGTCTGCTCATCAGCTCTCCACAGCCCTGTGTCTCTCTAAACCAGCACTCCACATTAAATCTGAATCTCTAGTCTAGCATGGTAACTACTATCTGTTCTCTAAGCAGCTGGGGGGGAGGGAGGCTAAGATGGGAGAAGTGTGAGTTCCAGTCCAGCCTGAGCTACATATAAAATGAAATCGAGTACAACCCCCCTCACCCCAACTCCCCCAAACTCTGAGTCTCTGCAGGAACCTCCATCTGAGCTATTTCTTTAGTCTTTCCGAGTATTGCACACACACACAGCACCTGCCCCCCAGGTCTTGCCGTAGCCAGGTACTGTTTTCTAAGTGAAAAAACAGACGTTGAAGACCTTGGTTTTCTTTCTTAGCCTTCGACACCCTCCAGCGTGGAGCTCTCCACCGACCCTGTCCAAGTGTCTGTGACGCGTCTTATTTCTAGGCTTGCAGTTGCACTTGTCCGATTAGGAAACCATCGTTACGTTACCCTCTACTCCTCGTGGGTTTCACCAGTGTCAATACTTGCCTCCCATACTGGGGCTGTTTTTCCAAAGGAGCACAAGTGACCCACTTGGTTTCTCATGGAAAAGATCACCCAGTGGCCATGCCTTTTTAGTCATTTGGCATGGTCAGGGCACCCACCTCCGAAATCCCCCTAATGTGCCTTTCTCGATCCAATTCCCAAGCCTTTTCCTTCTGTGTGGATTTTTTTTTCCATTAGCGTTAACAATATCTTCAAAAGAAGCCCCTAGCTTTACGAAGGGCCTTACAGGAGATGCCAGAGAAACTCTGTCTCAGAAAAGGGTCCTGATGCAACCATTCATCCATCTTAGAACTTCTAAAGTGGTCGCCATTGCTGCTTTTCAGGGATAACCCAGTCCTGTAAAAGTCTCTCAGCGAAATATACGTGGCAGCCAGGCCTGATGGAGCAGGCCCATCATCCCAGCTACTCTGAAAGCTGAAGCAGGAAGACTTCAAGTTCAGGGCTAGCCTCAGCTACAGAATGAATTCAAAGCCAACCTAGGCAATTTAGTGAGATCCTGTCTTATATTAAAAAGTAAAAAGACAGCTGGGGGGGGGGCTGGTGTAGTGGCTCACACCTTAAATCTTCCTTTTGTTTGGAAACAGAGGCAGGTATACCTCGGAGAATTCAAAGCCATAGGGTCTACAGGGCAAATTCCAGGTAACCTATATAATGAGACCCTGGAGGGGGTGGGACTAAGGATGTCACTCAGTAGCAGAGTGCTTGTCTTTGAATCCTAGGCTCAATCCTCAATACCACAACATCAATTAAATAATTATCAACTAAAAAACACATCTCAACTGTTGCTAGCCACTGGTTAAATTTTTATTATTTTCATTTTAATAAACTGCAGCTGAATCACTACTATGAATCATTACATATTACAATGTCCAGCTTTAGACATTGAAATAGATGGGAGAAGAAGCATCTTCTGTGAAAATCTCAGATTATGAGGAATCGGTGATGAATGATTTTACCCGGCGTGACTTAGAATCAGAACCTAAGCCTTCTGGACCTTGAAACCTAGAAGGTTGTGAAGAAGTGAACGGCAAATGAAATGTTTATTCAGAAATCACAGGGGATGTGCCATACAGGAAAGATCCACAGAGACAGGAGAGCCTGGTATACCGCAGTAGGAGATACTTGCCTAGTATGTGTGAGAGCCTGGGCTATACCGCAGTAGGAGGTGCTTGCCTGGTCTGCTTGAGAGCCTGGACTATACTGCAGTAGGAGGGTGCTTGCCTCGTATGCCTAAGAGCCTGGGCTCAATTCCCAGTGCAGGAAATTGGCCTCAGGAATGAACAGAGGTGGTAGCACATGCCTTTAATCCCAGCATTTGGGAAGCAGAGGTAGGTGGATCTCTATGAGTTGGAGGTAAAGCTGGTCTACAAGAGCTGGTTCCAGGACAGCTAGCTAGAACTATAACACAGAGAAAACTGTCTTGGAAAAAAAAAAAGAATGAACAGTCCTACTCGATCTGTTTATTTGGAACCCAGGCCTTGTGTGTCAGGCAAGTGTCCACCACTGCACTACCTCCTCAGCCTTTTCTCGTATTTTTAAAAAATTTTAAAATAGTCTCAGTAAGATGCCCAAGCTGACCTTGAACTCTCTCTGCAGCCTAAGAAAGCTTTGAATTTTTGATCCTCCTGTCTCAGCCTTCCCAAAGCTGGGATTACAGTCCTGGACAGCAATCCCACAGGCCATGTTCTTACTGATATTTTGAAAATCCTGGCTTTGTTGTCTCCTTTCTTTCCCAGAATACCAAAGCTCAAAAGAGGAGCCACAGATCCGTGTGGAAGGACACAGAGATATGTCCATGACACACTAACAAGAGGGGCAGTTTTAAAAGCTTATCTTTAAAAATTGCTAAAAACAGAATCGAGATAAAAACTTCTTAGTTATGAACTTTTAAAAATAGAATAAAGTAATAATTGGTAAATTGTGCTTCATCAAAACTTAAAATCTTTGTGCTTCAGACACTACCTTCACAAGGAGTAAGCCACAAACTGAAGAAAAATATTTAAATATCATATCTGGTAAGCAACTTGCATCTGGAATATATAGAACTATTTTGATTCAGTAATTTAAAATGAGGGTGGGAGTGGGGCTCAGTGGCTGAATATCTGCTTAGCATGCTGGAAACCCTGAATTTGATTCCGAGTATCACACACACACACACACACACACACACACACACACACATATGAATACACATGCTTGCACAAAATAACCCACCTGAAAAAATGGCACAAGAATTGATCAGACATCTCAACACTAACAAATAATGCTGGGGACACAGAAAAGTGGGCAAAGTTCCTGCAGGTCCATGAAGACCTGAATTCTGATCAGTCATACTCACATGAAAGCTAGAGATGGTGGCCCAGAGCTATAAGCCGAACACTGGGCATATGGAGGCAGATTGATTCCTAGACTGGCGTTCCACCAATCTAGCAGAGACAGAAGACTCTAAGTTCAATGAGAGATCTTGTCTCAAAAAAGATGATGAGGACAAGCAAGAACAATAGCTGAAGTCAACCTCTGGCCTCCACATACATACACAGGGACAAGCATATACATACATGCACATGCTCACATGTACATAACCACACACACACACACACACACACACACACACACACACCCTAAAAGGCAATAGGCACATGGAAAGCTGTTTGGTTCCATCGAATATAAACCAAAACTACAGTGAGATATCCCATTATGCCTACTAGGACAACTGTGATTTAAAAACACAGACAAGGGGCTGGAGAGATGACTCAATGGTTAAACAACACTGGCTGCACTGGGCATGGTGGAGCTCACCTTTACTCCCAGCACTTGGGAGGCAGAGGCAGGTGGATCTGTGAGTTTGAGGCCAGCCTGGTCTACAAAGTGAGTTCCAGGACAGCCAGGGCTACAACTAGCTGCTCTGGCAAAAGCCCAGGATGGACCTGGATTTGGTTCCCAGCGC